TTTTTAAGTACCTGTAAAAAAAAAAGTTTTTTTTTTTTTTTTTTTTTAAAGTTTATTAGTCAAGAACTCCGCATCAAAATAATGACAAACTGTCAAAATATCTTTCATTAAAAACTTTGGTCATCTTACAATTTAAGCATTACATTTTTCTTACGTCCTTATTATTCTTAACACAGATCTCCGTTGCAAAATGAAATTATTACGCCTCTAGGCAAATTAACGATAACAACAACAACAAGAAACTTATTTTTTTTTTTTAAATCAAGGAAATAAATAAATACAAATTCCCACAGGAAAAAGTACATCTTCAAGGAATGTTTGAAACTTGCAATCGACGGGCGGAACAAAATAATTTCTTAGGATCGATATTTGCTTTAGCAATTTCTATTTATTGAAAGTAATTGAAAGAGTCCTTCTACCATTCAAACAAGGAAATACATTCATTTTTCAGAAGTAATCGATACTCAATTATCACAGATTGAACACAGAAATCACATTTAATTTATTTAAACATTTTCTGAGATACTTGTTACAAACTAGAAGGTGTATTCGTTTTTGAGCACTGCAAAAAAATAAAAAAAAGAAAAAGAAAAAAAAGTCAAAGCCATAGATTTAAACCTGATGAACACAGAAATCACATTTAATTTATTTAAACATTTTCTGAGATACTTGTTAAAAACTAGAAGGTGTATTCGTTTTTGAGCACTGCAAAAAAAAAAAAAAAAAGAAAAAGAAAAAAAAGTCAAAGCCATAGATTTAAACCTGTCTCTGATGTTGTAGAATGTAGAACTGTCTTTGAGGTTTTTTCTCTGATATTGTACTATGCGAAACTGTATTTGAGGTTGTACACTGTAAACCTGTCTCTGAGGTTGTACAATGTAGAAATGTCTTTGAGGGTTTTTTCTCTGAGGTTGTACTATGCAAAACTGTATTTGAGGTTGTACACTGTAAACCTGTCTCAGAGGTTGTACAATGTAGAAATGTCTTTGAGGTTTTTTTCTCTGAGATTGTACTATGCAAAACTGTCTCTGTAGTTGTACAATGTAAAACTGTCTCTGAGGCTGTACAATGTTAAACTGTTTCTGGGGCTGTACAATGTAAAACTGTCTCTGTGGCTGTATAATGTATAACTGTCTCTGAGGTTGCACAATGTAAAACTGTCTCCGTGGCTGTACAATGTAAAACTGTCTCTGTGGCGGTACAATGTAAAACTGTCTCTGTGGCTGTACAATGTAAAACTGTCTCTGTGGCGGTACAATGTAAAACTGTCTCTGTGGCTGTACAATGTAAAACTGTCTCTGTGGCGGTACAATGTAAAACTGTCTCTGAGGTTGTACAATGTAAAACTGTCTCTGTGGCGGTACAATGTAAAACTGTCTCTGTGGCGGTACAATGTAAAACTGTCTCTGGGGCTGTACAATTTAAAACAAAGGACATTTAAAAATGGATTTATAATGTAAATTTAATGTTATCTTCACCAGAAACCCCGGGTTTACACTAAAGACAAACCTTGAATATCTGTGGATTTACTTGACGTCATGTCATCAGCCTTTTGAATATTAGGAATAAATCATTGTACAGGAGCTCAGTTGTGGATTTATTGGTGGATTCAGCGGTGGATTCAGTGGCACACCTTACCCCCCACCCCAATCAGCCCGAACCTGTCAACTTAACCCTGTTTAGACAATAAATATAATATAAACAAAGTCAAATTTATTAAAAGCAAAAATATAAAATCAAAAGCTTAGGGCCGCCACGACCAGGAAGGGGGTCTCATAATAATGGAAGGCCTTACTGATTTTTAAAAAAAGAAAAGCCCGGGGATCAAGAAAATGCGCTTTGTCAAAAAGTTTCATTTTTTTTCCCATTATTGAAATTGAGAATTTTTGGGATCAAAGGTAATCATATGATGACATGGGATCAGATAGTCTTAAAATGACTCCCCCCACCCCCCACCCCCCAAACCTTTTTTCCCCCGTCCTTAAAAAAAATGAAGCTTGATTACAAACCCATTTAGCACAATGCAAGTTTCGATTGTTTTTTAAAAATCAACAAAGGACACCCCCGCCACCAAACAACAAAACTTGTTTGACACACGTACGAAACAAATCAAATGAACACCATGACACCCTAATGTCCCGGCTAAACGTTGTGGAAATGATGAAATAAACCGTGATCTCGAAATAAACCGTGATCTCGAATTAATAAAACTGTAAGCACACAAGGTCCCCAAATCTGCGTGGTTGGGCAACACCATGGTCTTCCAAAAGGATACCTGCTTGACGAATCTCCGCGCGAAGCTCAGTTCTGCCTGCAGTTTGCGACCACGTGGCTGTGGTTGCCCCAGTACAAGAAATTATCGGTCGTCAGAACCGGAAGTAAGTCCGCGTTCGCTGTGCACATCTTGACGAAATTGGCGATGTTTAACAGCACCGTGTCGTTGGTCTGGTAGGAGACGTACTGCAGGAACGTCGAGTCGAGATACACGCTGTAGTTGTGGGTCACGTCGTTCCACGCGCCCAGGCAGCACAGGTAGGCGATCAGAGCGTCGTCCCGGGAGTCCTTGAAGGAGATCGTCCCCACCTTCGCGGAGCACCTGTAGGTGTCGTCCGCCGTCTGCTCAAGATACGTTATGCAGAAATTTTCCAAACTTGAGAGGGCAGAGATGGTGGTCAAAACCATGAGCAGTAAAATCGCCTGTGGGAGACAAGGAAAATAGACGTTAGGGGGGCATCGCTCACTTGGTTTTGATAAGTTCAAAGGTCAGACACAGTTTAAGATTCAGTGCGGTCGGCGCTAGACTGTCCGATGTGGTGAAAAGCTCAAGAGTATATGACATGAAGCAAGGTGTCATACCCGTTGATGGGTTTAAGTGATGTCACGAGATGGGGAAACTGCAAATCTTACAGAGCTTGCTCGAGTCGTTTTCATGACATATTTAAGGTAATTACAAGAGCAGGGCGCCCAAAAAAGGGGGCATCTGGGGCGTTTTATTCCATAAGAGTTGTGGCGCAACTTAATTTTGTGGCGTCCGGGGCGTGTTATGATTTAACAGCGTTCACTTCTGAAAAAAATCAAACGCTAAACTGGTAGGTCAGTTCCTTTTATAGAGTGTTGTTTAAAATTAACTGCGACATTGGAAGGTTTATTTCACGCATCAGTCCGACTGTGCGTGACAGAGAAGAAACAGACACATCGTGGTTTTCCTTTTGATTTTCCGAGTGGGGTTTTACCATTAGGTCATGCCTTTAGGAATCATCTTTCAAAAGGTGGAATCAAAATAAGAATTTGAAATGAAAGATAAAAATAAAAAGGTTTAAAAGAGTTGTCTGAAAGTAAAATTTTTAATGGAAGCACCACGGCTGCTAAAAGGTAACTGGCGCCATCTGTTACGATAATTATTAATTTTTTTTGGTTGAAATTTTGAAATTCATAGCTGAATGGGACTTCCAAGAAACACTCCCGATCCTCCTTATTAAAGTCAACAATTATTTCTCCAGATCGATCTGTATGTGACTTCATGCGAGAAGAGCTTTTCAAAAATGATTTCATCTTTGAAGACCGGGAGAGTAACGTTTTAATCGTAAGTTTATTGTTTTAATAAAAAGTAATTGTAAGTTTATTGTTTTAATAAAAAGTAATTGTAAGTTTATTGTTTTAATAAAAAGTAATTGTAAGTTTATTGTTTTAATAAAAAGTAATTGTAAGTTTATTGTTTTAATAAAAAGTAATTATAAGTTTATTGTTTTAATAAAAAGTAATTATAAGTTTATTGTTTTAATAGAAAGTAATTGTAAGTTGCTACATTACAATGCTACTTATTGTATGCTACAGTTTAATGCTACTTATTGGATGCTACATTTTTGGATTGAGCATGAATGAAACAATGATGGCGGTGCAAGCACGAGTCTGTAGTCTTTAAGTATCGACACTACTATTCCTATAAATACTCATCAATATCATTTTAATTATTGCCATTGGTATTAAAATTCCATCTTGAAAATCAGACCTTCCAGTTCAGCAAGCGCATACACTGGGGCCTCGTGTTTATATACAAAAATAATCAATGTCAACAAAAATCTTTAAATGGTGGTCTCTAACATCTGCTCGTCTCGTTGGACCGACGCTATGCTCTTGTTTATAAGAGTTTCAATGTCCAATTATTAGTAACCCTTTTAAAAGGGATTTTTTTGTTTGTTTTAGAGTCGCTTGTAAAATGCTAAACGTTTTGTCGAAGGTCTTGTTGAATGTGTTTAACAAGGGAACATGTAATCGAGGGCTAGACACAAAATAAGTATGTTGGAAATCTTTGCCAACGGTCACCCACACATAGGATGCGCAGCCCCAAAGTTTGAGAAATCTGCTGATAAAACAGGCTGGCCAAAACAATACAAAATCTGTAGCATTTTATAGCACGATAAATTTCTGGTACCTGTGTAATCCATGGTTATATTAATAGTATAATCCATGGGTATATTAATGTTATAATCCATGGTTATATTATTATTATAAGATATTAATTCAATTATTGAGTATTGTCTTTACAAACTTGTAGCATTTCTTTTTTTTTATTACTAAACGAGCATGCTTTGAAAACATGACGGGGGCCGCATGCTTTGAAAACCTGACAGGGGCCGCATGCTTTGAAAACATGACGGGGGCCGCATGCTTTGAAAACATGAAGGGGGCCGCATGCTTTGAAAACATGACGGGGCCGCATGCTTTGAAAACCTGACAGGGGCCTCATGCTTTGAAAACATGACGGGGGCCGCATGCTGTGAAAACCTGACAGGGGCCGCATGCTTTGAATACATGACAGGGTCCGTGCATATATTATATAACACAAAATTATGATATTTTTGACCCACCCTCATCCTTTATACAGGGACGTCATTTGGCTAGGGCTGATGGGGGCATTTGCCCCCTCCCCCTCTGAATTTTCATGTTTTATTAAAATTGCTATGTACTTAATAAACAACTTAACAGACCGGGCAAGTTTTGGCCCTCCCCAATTTTACAACAATAAGAATTGATTATAAAAAATATAATTTAAAAAAGGAATCGGTCTATAACATTGTTCCCCACCACCTCTCCAAATTATATCACATGCTATAACAAAATGATAAGCTATAATAATAATAATAATAATAATAATAATAACAGCAGCCCCTCACTTCTTTGCATTATATGATATGTGCACGGTCACGTATATAATATAGCTGAGACCAAAAGGTAGACATATCAGTTATTATAATGGAAAATTTACATATTCAAGTTGGAGGGTAGAGTGATGGAGTGGAGTGATGGAGTGGAGTGATGGAGTGGAGTGATGGATATTTTAATTTATGGCGCTTAAAAGACGGAGATGTGTCACCATTTGACAACTTGTCATGTCATGTGTCCCAGTGATTTCTAGGATACGTCAAGCGGAGAAGACATCAACTGTGATCGGAAGCTCAGGTAAGAGACAGCAACTGGGATTGGAAGTCCAGATAAAAGACAGCAAATAGGATATGAAGTCCAGGTAAGAGACAGCAAATAGGATAGAAAGTCCAGATAAAAGACAGCAAACGGGATACGAAGCCCAGGTAAGAGACAACAATTAGGATACGAAGTCCAGATAAAAGACAGCAACTGGGATGCGAAGCCCAGGAAAGAGACAACTACTGTGATACAAAGCCGAGGTAACAGACAGAAACTTAAAAAAAAATAAAAATAATTCAAGTAGCCTCTGCATCTCACATAGAGTCAGTCTTTTAATAAACTCTTGAAATAACTCCACCATCACACACTCTCTAAACCTTGTCCCAAAATTGTGTCAAACTTGAGTGTTATTCTGGTATAAAATTTGGCTATAAACTTACTGTTCTATTCATGGCTTTAAAATACTCGGAAGCTGTTAACAAAACTCTTGAAGCCGTTCAACTCCACAGCTCAGTTCGATTGACCAACGGAAATAAGTTCAGCTGCCGATGCCTTCTTGGTGTCACTCGTCAATATCAGAGCCTTCTTCGCGACTAAAACTAAAACTACTTTTTTTTTTTTTTTACAATAGACTAATGATGAATTCCTCAGCCTTACTGTACAACTTTTCTATGTGGTATTCAACTTTTTGTCAGATATTATTTATTTTGTTGGAGAAAAAAAAATACATATTCCAATACATCGACACTTCTCTGGACGGCAACACTCCAAGAATGGTTCAGTTCTTCAAGGTAAAGCCAAGTCTACCTGTAGCAGGTCATTCATGCAAACCCTTCCCTTTGCTTGAGGCCAGTTGTACACAAAGCGGACCTTATATTATTTTTAGCGTCGTGTGGGTGGGGTTCTGAACGCCGCCAGCAAGCCTCTCTCGTTTCACGAAATGATTGGCCACGCACGTACATTACTACAATTAACGATTGGTTCATTCAGTTCGCGGGGCCCACGGTATCAACTGTCTCACTGAAGGAAATTTTATTGTGAGGGGGATGAACGAAATACATCCGGTGTTTACATACATACATAAACGTGGAAGTGAATGGTATAAACTTAGATAGGAATGAAATTAGAGACAGTCCGAAAGCAGGGGGAGGGGGGGCGGCCTTTAGGGTGTGCGACCTGTGCCCTCGCACAGGGCGCCGTGGCCATAGGAGCGCCCGGGGCGCCCATTAAATAATTAGATTCCCTTAGTTTATTATAGTGAAGTGTGAAACTCGGAGTCGGACTTTATTGGTAAAGAAAGGGCCGACTACTCTTGCTTAGGTGTGTGAACGTGAAAACCCATAGATATTAGAGATACACGAAACTATCTCCTTGTCTTTTCCTTCGTGGTGGCAGAGAGGAAAGGCATTGCGCCAACTAACGGGACTCCCTCACTGGTCTAGCTGAGTAGTTCAACATACCCAAACTTAGAGAAGATTTAAAAGAAAAAAAGAATGTTATCTCCCCATACCTTACCATAGATCGACAGTCCGTAGAGAATATTTGTGTTGTAAATACAGAGTTCAGGGTTTACCACGTGACTTGCGAAAGGTCACAGTAATTGCCGCGCCCATTTTTGTGATGTTTTTGTTTTGATTTAGTCAAGTTTTTCGCTGTTTATAGAGGTGGCGAAAATACAAAAAAGTTGCTAGTCCAAAGGACTCAAACCAGTGCACAATTATGATAATGTAAATAATTCAAAAGATTATGAAATAAACGAAGGCCCAACACCAGTCAACGGCACAACACCAGTCAACGGCACAACACCAATCAACGGCACAACACCAGTCAAAGGCTCAACACCAGTCAACGGCAAAACACCAGTCAACGGCCCAACACCAGTCAACGGCCCAACACCAGTCAACGGCCCAACACCAGTCAACGGCCCAACACCAGTCAACGGCCCAACACCAGTCAACGGCTTCAGCGGTATCCTAACGTTTCGTACAATCGCTTTTCATCCAATGAGTTTTCACCCCAATGAGTTTTCACCCCAATGAGTTTTCACCCCAATGAGTTTTAACCCCAATGAGTTTTCACCCCAATGAGTTTTCACCCCAATGAGTTTTCACCCCAATGAGTTTTCACCCCAATGAGTTTTCACCCCAATGAGTTTTCACCCCAATGAGTTTTCACCCCAATGAGTTTTCACCCCAATGAGTTTTCCTCCAATGAGTTTTCACCCCAATGAGTTTTCACCCCAATGAGTTTTCACCCCAATGACAGTTGCATTC